GTCTTCTCAAAAACTCCAAGAAATCTCCCAAAATCGCCTAAGATCGCCCAAAGTTGCTCCAGAAACCGTCCTCCATAAAAATGACGTCTTCTCCTGTTTTAATTAATGTTCACGTGCATGCCATAAGGCCATGCGTTTTTGGCATGACCATGCCTTTTGCCCATGTGTTTTTGGCATGGCCATTTGTCTTGACCATGTGTTTTTGGCATGTCCCATGCTTTTTGCTAAAATTCCAAAAAGTCTTCACTGTTGGCTCCATCTTCAATCTAGCTTCACCACGAGTCATGTTGCTCAAATATAGGATGACAAAGGACAAACATGACCCGTGTCGGTGTGACACGAATCGCGTTTCAAACATAGTCCTTTGCTATGATGAGAATGCAACAATGAATCGTGTTATGTCTTCATGTTCTCTTCCATGGCATGACCGATACATCTTCTTTTCATGCTCCAAAGCTCCATGCTCCATGATCCATGATCCATGCTCCATGCTCCATAATGCCTACAAAATAAATCAAAAATAGTGAAATACCAGACATTCTTAATGAAACATGTAGTTGCCCAAATAATTAACTAAATGCAAGAATTATGAAGTAGAATGCTATGAAAGGACGGAAATAAACATGCAAAATAGGTGCATAAAATGCACCTATCAAACACCATCAATTTATATGGGTGTTTGAAGTAAAATCTATAGAACAAACTGATTTCATTATTGTACATTTGACTTTGACTTAGCAAATGTTATTCATGTGCTAGAGACCTCCATTTGTGACACAAGATTAATTGGAAGGCTCTGCATTGGTAAAGATTTTAGAAGCTTATACAACCTTCCCCTTTCGGTTCCAAATACTAATTCTTGATTATTTTTTGTAGTTAATAAAAAAGGCCTTCTGTCACTGACTCGGGAGCTCTCCTCCACTATTGAAGGTTGTCTGGCAGCAGCAACACCAAAGTTGTTGTTTGGATGATGTCGTAGTGAACCAAAGACATGAGGCACGACGTGTGGTGGGGTGACAACACCTGGAGGCTGTGAAGAGATACCATGCGTTGTTGGTGGTGATCAGAAGAAGTCATGCTGCTACAAGTTTGCTTATAAATTTTACTTATTGTAGATATTTATATAGACTTTGTTGATGTCTAATTGTTGGTTGTGGTTGCAGGATAGCAAACCTTTTTTCTAAATGGCAAAAAGTTATGGTCTCAAAAAGGATTTGTTGCTTTGTAAGTTTTTCCATTTCAATTGAAAGAAGAGTACGCTTTCATTTCTTGCATTTAGCCACTAATTAGGTTAAATGCAAGAAATAACACTATACTTTATGTTTTCTATACAAATATATAAACAAACTCTTCTCTCACTAGCAACAACTGAAATGTAGTCTCCATGCACGACAGCGTGGCATTCCTGTAAGCAGGGGCAGAACTAGGAATTTTCGACAGGGGTAGCACATATTTCTTATAATTATAATAAATGGGGGGTTTGTAACTTATAACATGTCCTTTGAATAAATAAATAGGGATAACTCAACTTTTGTATTTCACTGGACCCACATATTTCATAAAAGCATTTGATGGACATAATTGGGCTTTTACCTTCTCCGGACTTTAAAATTAGGCTAAATAGAAGCACCATAAATTCTGTAATCAATAGCACCTTAAAAGTTACCATTTTTTTTCAACTTTGTATAATATCCATGATTTTTTGAGGGGTAGCACGTGCTACCCCTGCCAACTATATAGTTCCGCCAATGCCTGTAAGTATGCGTCCACACGAAAATCACTACATTGAAGGATATGATGGAGAACCTACACTACAACTGATCCCCCTTTTCCATTTCCACAAATGCGTCCCCCTATGTAATGATCTTTCCATGTAATGAACGTTCGTAATAAAATAAGACGTGTTTATCTACCATTAATATGTATGTTCTCCATAGATTAGAATTCCAAAATATAAAAAAGAAAACGTAAAAAACAAATTAAAAAAGTGACCCATGGTTCACAACCGCCTCACTAGTTTATACAAATGATCAAAGACTTGGAACCAATTAGGTAAGACCTGTACTTGGAGGAGCAAAGTTGTAATGTAAATATTAGTTTAGGGACCATTCATGTATCTGATGCATAATGTTGAATAGAAAAGGGGGGTTTACGTCTGTCTATGGTTTTGTTTCCGCTCAGCCAGAAACCAAAAGACTCGGGAGAAGATCTCTGTCTCGTATTCAACAAGCAGCCATGGCGACTAAAGTTCAGAGGATCATGACCCAACCTATCGTACGTATTCTTTCCTTCTCCAAAACCAACTTAATTAACTGGGATCCCTAATTGGTTTCCCTCATTTTCACTTTTATTTTAAGTGACGACTAATAGAATCTTTAACTTTTTCCTATTAATTCCAGAACCTGATATTCAGATTCCTTCAAAGTGTAAGCTCTACTCACATTTTAAATTTCATTCGATGGTTTGTTTGGACGAATTGGCTGATTTTCTGAGTTTTATGCTGTGTATGAAACAGAAAGCGCGTATCCAGATATGGCTATTTGAACAGAAGGATTTGAGGATCGAAGGTCGTATAATTGTAAGTCTAATTATTCTGAGCATGAATTTTACGATCTTTTTTAACTTCTTGTAATTTTGTAACTTGATGATAATTATAATTTCGTATGCTTGGTTGTTTGATGTAGGGTTTTGATGAGTACATGAATTTGGTTCTTGAGGATGCAGAGGAAGTCAGTATAAAGAAGAAAACCAGAAAGGCTCTAGGTCGGTTAGCTTGATTATCCTTCTTTCTATCGATCTTGTTCTTGGTGTCCTTTTTTCTAACCTTCAAGTTTTGGATTTTAGGAAGGATTCTGTTGAAAGGAGACAACATTACTCTGATGATGAATACGTATGTAAATCATTCTCTACATCCTTCCACACACATTGCATTGTAGCTTCTTTTCTATTACCTGCAACTCATTTTACTAACTTGCATCTGTTGTATTGTATGTATTCAGAGGAAAATAATCAGGAGCATTTATTTGCATGAGGATAAAACTGATTGGTACATCACAAGAAGCTAAAGTGAAGATTCAGGACTTGATCAGTTTCTTTGGACGTTTTACCACTTTGATCATGTATTCGTCACCATTTTACTACAATATATATTTGTCAACAAGTATGTTAAATAGCTATAGTCAGCACCTTAAAATTGCATTCAGACGTTCGGCTAATGGAATGTTTCTTTTTCACACTTGATGAGTTAAGTACTTAATCTGGATAGTTATGAAATTGGCCTATTTAGACGTTTTATTCAGTCTTGGAAAAGTAGAAAAAAGATGTACAACATTTTATCCATGCATACATCATTCTCATTCAGGTGCTCCTTTTCCTGGAGCTAGAATTTATAAATAGATTACAAACACCACAACATCACATGACCTCAAACTCTTCATTGTGAGGATTGTACTTTGTACTAATCTCTTAACTTGCCCCTATCATCACAACACTATAAGACCTTATTATAAGCCAAGAAACACAAACTCTTCAACAGCTGGCACATCACCTATTTTCTTGAGGGTACTTTTGTCCGGTTCTTCATCAACACCAATCGCCATAATAGCCTTCTTCCCCCTAAAAGTCCTTCCAACACTCATGAAACTCACATTCACATTATTCATTCCAAGAATACCCCCAACCATTCCAATCATCCCTGGTTGGTCCACCTGGCGACACAATATCAAGTTCCCTTCAAGACTCACATCCACATCAAACGACCCCACACGTGTCAAATGAGGTTTCCCATATTTCACTCCCCCTTCAACACTAATCTCATCATTATCACTCAAAGCACTTGCAAATTTCGATTTCACATTGCTTATCTGAACTTGAATGGAATCAAATGGACACCCTGGCGATGAGTTGGCAAACACCCGTTCTTCAGAAATCCGTAAACCTTTCTGTTTAGCTATGAAGTCAGCATTAACAAGGTTGATTATGGAATCAGAGATTGGTTCTATGATGCCTTTTACAATCATAGCCCTTACAAGTCTTGTGTCCAGGTCATCAGGATCACGTGCTGACCTGTACACCACCTTTACAGACTTAATCCCACTTCCTCCAGCAACCAACTGTACAGCTAGTCTTCCCAGCTTCTCAGCTAGTGCCACGTAAGGTGCCAGCTCAGATAAAACCTCGGGGGCTACCATTGGAGCATTAACGGCCGTTGCAGAGAGTTCTCCTTGTAAGGCTCCAACTACAGCTTCTGCTATTTCAACAGCTACACCTTCCTGATGTTTGTATAATTAACCGTGGTTAAGTTAAAAAGGGGTGAGTGAGAGGATTGTAATTACAATTTAAAATCATACTTGTGCCTCTTTTGTGCTAGCTCCAAGATGAGGTGTTGCAGTGACGTTTTCATGGTGGACTAATTTACTATCTTTGGGTGGCTCTTCAGTGAACACATCTAAGGCTGCCTGTGCAACGACTCCAGAATCAAGGGCTTTCAGTAAGGCGTCTTCATCAATGACTCCACCACGAGCAACATTGATGATTCGGACTCCTTTTTTCATCTTTGAAAAGGTTTCATCGTTGAAAACTTTTGAAGTTGTTGGAGTGAGTGGCATATGGAGTGAGATGAAATCTGCAGTTGAAATGGCATGATCGAAAGAGATGAGTTCGACACCAATGGCACGGGCTCTGTCTGCTGGTGCGTATGGATCGTGTGCAACCACATGCATGCCTAGGCCTTTTGCACGTCTAGCAACCTCAGATCCGACCTTCCCGAATCCCATGATCGCTAATGTCTTCCCCACCATGGAAACTCCGACGTACTTGTTACGCTGCCATTTGCCTGTAAAAAAACGATTGAAAACTCAGATTGTGAGATAGATCTGGTTAATATGAGCTGTAAAAGGAGTAAAAAGTAGCTGGTGTCAGAAAACTTTTTTTCCAGATCATAAGATAGATCTGACGGATGTGAGATAACAGGGGAATTTCATCTCAGAGAAGGAAAAAGTCATCCATGGCAGATATTGGGGAAGGAGAATAGAGAAGATAGAGGGATTTAGGTACCAGCTTTCATGGAGGCATCAGCCTGTGCGACATTACGAGCCATAGAAGACAACAAAGCAATGGCGTGTTCGGCAGCAGCAATAGTGTTGGCAGTAGGAGCATTAACAACAAGGCATCCAAATTCAGTGGCGGCTTGTAGATCTACATTGTCAATACCTACGCCAGCTCTTCCAACGACCTTCAATCGACCTTTAGCGGCTTCAAAAACCTGACGGTTAACTTTTGTACCACTTCTGACGATCAAGGCATCGCACATGGAGATCTTGGAACACAAATCGTCCGGAGAGAGGTTGTAGGAGCAATCAACGTTGGCGAAGCTTTTGAGAAGATCGAGACCTGCATCTCCAAGTTTTTCTGAGACAAGGATGGTCGGTTTGGAATTGGAGAAAATGGAATCGAGATTTGAGGCGGTTGAGGAGAGATTTGGGGAATCTGCGGTTTTAAGAACATTGGTGATAGTTAGATATTGAAATCGAGGAGTTGAAGGAGAAAATCTTGGGGGAATTGAAAATGAGGAAGGTAGGAATGAAGATTTGAAAGGGGTGGCGTAGGTTGGGAGGTTGATTGAAGATTTTGAAGAAGAAGGAACAGTCGAAGCGATCATGGCGGAAATCAACAGAAATATCAATCTGGTTTCTTTCCTTTTTCTTTGGGGTGATTTTTGCGGGGGAACCGTCGGTGTCTTTATAAGCGCCAACAATCATTCGTATCTACATGCCACTAACTGATTAATAATATACTAAATGTTACAAAACCAGTCCCTCGGGTATTTCTGAATGGATTAATTTTGCATGTATAATTTTTTTCCCAACATTAATGATATTGTATTGATAACAAACCTACACATAACACATTGATCGTGAATAACTAAAAACTTACAAAGTAAAACCTAAATAATAAAAGAGATTTTCTAATATGTGCGGGCGTATTAATTATAAAAAATATTACCATAATTAAATGTGAAATGCATTAATTATGAAGATTATTAATGAATTTTATATTTATTATGGTAATATTTATTATAATTAATGTATTTAACATTTAATTATGGTAATAATTGTGATTAATTAATACTTCTTATATGTGCCCTTAGGGCACATATTAGAAAATCCCATAATAAAATTTAAGTCCGTGCATTGCATAACGGCGTCTTTTGTAATCAATCAGCACAACTTTACCAATTACTTTCTAGTCTTCTAAAAATATAATTAATAAAATAAGATGAAGCAACATTATTTTATGTAAGGTTCCTTATCCTTCTTTATACATGTGATTTCTAATTAAAGAATTATTATATATAAAAGAATCATAGTCTTTTTGAATACATGAGAACTAGTGAAGATTTCAATAATTAAAGGTGTGTGCGATGAGAATAATTATTTTATAAGTAAAAGAAAGACTCACCAATCATAACCAAAATGAGATCCGGAGATACTATAAAATTAAAAACCGATAATAACAAAAAGACTATATTCTCATTCTCATGTTACATTTATAAAACTTGGGTCTATCTTTTTTCCTTTAAATGATCATAATCGAATTTGAAATCGGGTCAATTGTGAATTGTAAATTGTAAATTATATTATATAAGGTTCCTCTTATTTAAAAACCGATAATAACAAAAATACTCTATATATGATATAAACTGACAATAATTTCGCAACTTATATATCAAATTTTCTCTTTTATGTATTTTCAAATCCATGTCGAGTCCATGTTTAAGAATTTATTTCGAATGTTTGACACAACCAAGTAAGTTTTTTTATTTTTATTTTTTTTATTTTAATTAATTAATTAATTTTTTTTCCTTTCTATTTTAAAACACTGAATGTCAAGTTCGAGACCTTAGTTTTTGAGTTTTTTAATATTAAACTAGAAAGGTGTCCCCCCCCCCCCTCAGAATGACGTAAGCAATGACATAAGAAGCCATTAGACACATTATTGAAGACATGTGGCCTTTCAATATAGAAAGGAGTTGTAATTATTTAGGTTTTGTCTTTTATAATTATTGTATGTCTATTGTATTATTGTGATGTAACATAAAATATGTAAGTCCCTCAATAGTCTAGGGGGCTATAATGTAAATAGGTTTGTCATATTGCAATCAACCGATTGCAAT